CCCGCAGCCCCCCGCCTCACCTGGGTTGCTGGGTTGGACGTGGTGAGACGGCTGATGCTGCTGCTCCGCGGGTCTCCGGTAATTGCTGCTCTCCTGGGAGTTCCTGCGCTCCAGCTCAGCGCCCTCGCTGGGACTCGGGCCCATCCTGCTCCTCTCGAACTCTTCGTGGTATTTTATCTACAGCGACAGGAGAGGAAGGAGAGGTCTGAACGCAGCCGGGACAGCTCTGCAGCGCCGGCCGCCACGCTGAGCCCGGACCCCAGCAATGCCCGCGGCTCCCGCAGCCCTTCAGCACCGGCAACGTCCTTCCCCTCAGCCCAGCTCCTTTCTTTTTGCCACCGAGGACTCCGCATCAGCCATCCCACAGCCCCCCCTGCGGTCCCAGGGCTCCTTCCCCACCCATCTCCTCACCGACATTTGCTCAGACCCTTTGTGGCACACAAAGGAGGAGGTTTAAGCGTCCTAGGGGTGGGATACGCAATTTTTTCAGGCGTGGGTGGGATTGGAGGGCAGGCTCCCAAGCCCGCATGCTGCAGGGGCGCGGAGCAGAACCGCATTTAGGAAGTCCCCCCCCTACACGCACCCAGTTTGCTGCGCAACTCGCCAGCCCACGGCCGGGTACAGCGGGTGCCACGGAGGTACCACTCCACCATCTGCCCCCGGATCTCCCTTTAACCGAAGCGTGAGAGGGCCTCGGGGGTTTTTCTTTGAAGGAAACTCAAAGCAGATACCACCAAACGCACCAGCTGCAGCGGGGCTGAGCCCTCCCCCGCAGCGGGCAGGAGGGAAGGGTTAACCCAACCGCCCGGCCGTGGGCGTAAAAATTAATAGCCACTTGTGTTAATGAGTGCATCGCCATCGGAAAGCACCTGGAGCCCATTTGTCTGCTGGTTAAACAGTTATTTACTGAAGGGCACTAGAGCAGGCTCCCCGCAGAGCCGGGGGCAGAGCCGCCCTCCCGGGAAGGAGAACGCCCCGAGGGGACCCCCATTCCCCCCCCTGCGGCCACGGGGACCCCCTCAGGACGGCGTTTCCCAGAGGCTCAGGTTTTTGCACAGCTCCATGACCCAGGAGGGTTTCCCCCCACACGCGGGGACCGTGTCGGCTCCCTCCGCCCAGGGTGTTTTGGGGCACCCCGGTGCCGCGGAGGCATTTGCGCCCCAGCGAGCGGCGCAGTGCGGTACGGTGCAGGGCAGCCCCCTTCGCCGCCCCTCTGCCGGCGGAGCCGAGTGTTCCGCGGGGACCGGGCTGGTTTCTGTGTCGGGATGAACTGGGTCACTGCAACCCCAGGGCCGGCAGCCAGATGCCCACTGGGACACGGCTGAAAACGGCTACCGTGGCCGAGGGAAGGCGAAGGGAGCCGAGCAGAGGGACACGGGCTGGTCTCATCTCTCTGCTGTGGTATTTAACTCCCCCAAACCTCCACAGATTCTCTCAAAAGAGAGCGGTGCTTTCTGTACCAAAGACCGCAGCCCCGCTGGGTGGCAGGGACGCCGTGCTGCTCTCCTGCCACTCCGACCCCGCTGAGGAGCTGTCCCCGAGGGGAGAATCTTCCAGCCAGGTCCATTCCCCATACGGGAATCCTTCCCCAGCCCTCGCCGTCCTGGGGTTTGGTGTGCAGATAACCCACAGCTCCCCCAGGAGACACCAGTACTTGCCAGAGAACTGCACAAAGGGATCGGGAAGAGAGGGAATAAACAACCTCCTCCCGCCCTGCTGGGCGTTCTTGTGTCTGCGTGCGCCTGCGAGCTCCCGTGGTGGGCACAGACTCCGTCCTCCCTCTCCCTGCGGTCCCGCAAGCCTGGACCCTCCTCCCCGGGACACCCCCGGGGGAGCAGAGAGCGGCTTTGTCCCCAAAGATGGGATGCTGAAGGTTCCATCCATCCCTTTTCCATGAGCAAGAGCAGCTCGGGGGGAGGCAGAGCTGAGAGCGCGGAGCAGAGGCCGCCTGCGGAGCGGACGCCGGAGTTTTCCCATGCAGAGCTGCGCTCCAGGGACGGGTTCACTGGTCAGGGAGAAACCAGCCCTGCCTGCTGCTGCGCCGGGTTTTGCAACAGCTCCCGGACCTTTGATAAGGAACATCGTGACTTTCACTGGCGGCTAAAGGTTAATTAACCCCCCCCGCCTTCCCACTGAGGGCAGACGCTATTGTGGGTTGCCGTGCCGCGACGCCTGGGAGCGCAGGGGCGAGTTTGGGCAGGGGACGGAGACAGCCCACGTGTGCCGCAGCCAGTGCCGCAGCTATACGTGCCAGCGCGCATCCTCCTCCTTCGCCATGGCAACGCGCAGACCTCCACGTCTGCCACGTACCCACCACCGGCACCTGGACACCGACCGGGGCTGCCACGCCAGCCGCCACCGAACCCGGGGCACGGTTTTAATGTCATTTTCAGAAATGGAAGAGCTGGGTCTCTCGCAGGCACAGGACAGAGCTGCCCTTCCACAAGGTCAAGGGAGGAGAGAGATGCCGCTGTGTGTGTGCAGCCCCCGGGAAGCCCCCCCGTCCCAGCGCCCAGGCGGGAGGGATGCTGTGCTCCTCGCGGAGCTCCCTGCAAGGCTGCGCCGCCGGATGAGGGCTGTTAGGTAGGGAAGCGGCTGACGTTGCCTGTCCCACCCTCGGGGCCGGTGGCCGCCGGGAGGTGGGGCCCGGGGACCCCA